ACCCTTATGAACAAACTGTCGCTGGGATAATTTAAGTGTTCCTTCCCATCTGAATCAAATGTTTATGCTTGTCAATTTGGGAATACAGATGCTTCGAACGTTTCCTGTTAAACACATTGAACTATTCAAATATATGATACAGTTCGATTTATAGGAGGATTAGTAAGTTACATTATGAAACGACCAGTCTTCATTTCTTCTGAGACTAAGAGTTCAACGGAACAGGAAGATATTGTGGGACAGGTTCAACAACAAACATTTGCCATCCGAACTTTCTTACGCTTACGAACAGCCCACCTCTCTCTCTCTCTCTCTCTCTCTCTCTCTCTCTCTCTCTCTCTCTCTCTCTCTCTCTCTCTCTCCCACCATGGAAAATGCGAAATCTGTCCCGTCAGGCCCACTATAACTAGTCACCGAATTTTGTACAACAGCAAGCCACTCTACTAACAGGCTCAGACTTTATGATGGGCCATCGGTTCTTACCCTCTTCTGATCAACACAAAAACCAGTAGCGGATGTCTTATAGTAAGTCAGTAAATCTAACTGGTAGCAAGGCTTTCGTGAACATGATAATAGAGGTTCGTGATTCAAAGAAGGCTACGTGTTTCTAGATCAACTGAACGACCACCAGCTTCTCAATAACGATTCTACTCCTTTTTTTACTTAAGCACGCGTAAATGCATCTACATTCTAATGTCTTTATGGAAAACTTTATTGAAAATATAATCACCTATATTGAACATTCCAAATTAAAAATTATGCTCGAGGCATACGAAATTGTTAAAATTATCAGACACGTCTCCACTAGTATCTAGGGTTTGTTAAGCGGATCGATAACCCGAACTTCGTTCCCTCTTTTTCTCCATTCTGCTGGTCACATTACTTTCCAACAAACTATTTAGTTGATACGAGACAATTAAATACGAAGTTGCTAACTGTAAAATTTCTTCAGCTATGATTTTTTGATTGACTTCGATCGGCGCACCACAGGTTGTTTATGTACGGCAGAGTGAAGTATGACAATATGTTCCATTTTTTGCGATCCATATTACAAGTCGTCTTCATTTTGCTTCATAGAATTTTCGAAGTTATTCTATAACTACTCCCATTAAATTACGTAAATAAGCCTGATACTTTGTGTTAACAGTTTAAAATTTTATAGACCCCCACTGACAAAGCGTCGACAGCTTGCGTTGATAAATCAAATTACATAAAATAACTCGCATAATTTCATTGATTTTTTTTTTTTTTTGGGGGGGGGGGCAATTCCTGTGTATGAAATTCCTAATCCACCACTCACAGGATTTTTTAAACATCAAGTCGCAATTTGGGCCGACAAATTTTCTAGAAATTTAATTGGAAATACAACTTTTGTTGCCAGAAAAAGTTTAAATTTAAATAAAGCAATTTCTTGTTACTCTACAATTTTTTTAACATACTGAAAATTCGTTGAAAGGCATTTTACCTTTATAAACGGGAAACTATTTTTCCACTAATATCATGGTACATGCCAAGAAAGATTTGAAATACGTTTTTTAGCCCCCAATTTAAAATTTAATCTTTCAGAATAACTTGCACATTAAATTTTAGAAATATTTTGCAAGCAACAGTTCAAATCGAAAAACTGCCATACTTACTACGTGCCCCTATCCTCAGGCGTCTTCAGTGTCTTCACAATTTACCAAACACAACCTGAGTCCTACCCCAACGACCTTCTTGAAGGGAATGGCACTCTACTTTCCCCTTGGAACAGGAAAAGTAGAGTGACGTAAGTCCAAAGTCGTTACACCGACTAAATATTTCACCACAATGCATCGTACGACGTAAATACCCTGTAAATCACGATGTTCAGGGTAGAAACGCCAGTATCGATGATGTCAGTTCTTTGACACTGACCTTCACATGAACTCACTGGAGGACGGATTACTGCAGTAAGGAACCAATAAGATTACAAGCCCTCTACCTCGGTACATTTCTTTCCTCTATTAACCTCACACACCACGTAACCTAAAAATTGAAAGGGGAAAAATAAATAACATGAAGATACAGACAGAACAGGTCACATGTGACTAAAATGGTATGTCCAAGATTTCATAAATTTTATTTCGTGTAACACTATACTTCATTCGAGAACCAAGACAGAAACTAGAATACAGTATTCAGTCCTTAAGGTAACACGATTTGCTATTTGCAAGATAACACAAAACATCATTATTTACAGACATTTGAATAAGCGAAGACCCGTGGGTCACACTGCCCAGCGTTTCGTTGTTTCACTACATGTAAATAACAAACACAATCGAACCAATTTTGAGACCGTTGCAAAGCTTCTTCTGTCAACCAGTAACAGAAATTTTGGTCCCATTTGTGCCATATCATGACACAACCTGTCAAATATTTTGGGACACCTTACAAGGCTTGATTTTGGGATGACTGTCCATCAGTAGAGCAGAACAAACATGTATATTTCCTTATCTCTCCTTCCTTCCTCTTCTACATAAACAAAGCATAATGGCGAAAAAATGCTTTATGAAACATTCCCATTAATCTTAATAATGTTTATGACATAGCTGGTGGTAAATAAAACCTAATATATCAGAAAATGTTAGACCATCTGAATTCCGAGCAGCAGACCAAGAATAATGCATATAGGCCAACAATTTCCTAATCTCACTAGGCAATAAGGTAAATAGTGCATGTCTGAAACAATCAACAAATAGCATTATGGGGGAAAAGAAAATTAACATTATTTTATCATGTACTTCTAACTTCATTGGTGTCTATAATCTAAAGCATGACTCAGGTTCCTGAGGCTTTAAGAATTACTTCGTTCATCGTTGGTTTCAAATCAAATGGGTGCTTTTCTGCCACAGGCCAAATATTTTTCAAAACAACATTGTTGAAAACAGGCAATTAGGAGTTAGTTTCCATGAAGTAAACCTCTGAATCTGTTAACGCTAGCAGACGAGGTTATGTTATGCAGAGCCGCGGTATTTGTAAGCTACAGCAGCGGCTTAGAAAATTCATTCTCAATAGACACTGGTGTCAGTGACATTACTGAGAGAAAAAATGATTTTATAAGCTTCAGCTTTGTAAATGTCTCAGTTGAGGCAACAGTAACTGGAGATATCAAAGCGGTCTCTTAGCGATGTCAGACAAATCGTCGACAGTTGCTTCTTAGAAATTACTTTAAGACTTTGGAGAATGCTCCTTCAATGTTCACCAATGTCAACTCCTTGAAAGTTTTAATTCTTGTGACAACTCCATTATAGCTTGTGGAAAGACCTTTAGCTGCGTTCTTTAAAGAAATAATATAATTACCCTTCTACTGCTCTACACATGGAGATACAATAGATTCCGGTTAATTGGGCCATCGGTTAATCGGGGCATCCGTTTATTTGGAACAAATCTTAAAGAACAAACGTTTTTAACTCTTTACGTTGAACTTCGCATAATTGGGGCAGAAGTTTAATTGGGCCAAAGTTTTCTAGTCCCGATGTGTCCCAATTAACCGGAATCCACTGTATATGAGAGAGTGGAAGTAAAGCTCCATGCATTCTTAACTTCGATGTCAGATGAAGGCGAATAGTCAGCGTCATGCTCCAACGCCGGTGCTGAGCCTCCAGAGTGGTTAAGAAGCTGCGTAGACCGGTCTAGTGGCAGAGACAGCAATTCCTACCATTATCAGGAAATGCGGCCTTACTTAAAACTGAACTTCTCAATGTTTCAGAGTGGAGCAAAATCTAATTATTCAGCTGACATACATTTTCTTAATGTCAGCCAAAAATCCAAAGGTGTTCCTGGAGGTACCAATGAACTCCATTTTCAGGGCTCATAATTGCATAGTCCAACGCAATAATTAACAATGAAATTAAGTTACGAAAATCCAAACTTTGTAGTGAATAAAATAAGATACCAATACAGGCTTCATAAGTCGGCAAAGCTCAATCAGTATAGCGACACTTCGGTTACCGGCTGTGCAGGACTGATCAATTCTGGGCCCATCCGAGCCTCCTATCCAACAGCCAACGGAGTTCTTTCCTCGGGAATATAGTTGCCGTGGCATGCAGCTAATCACTCATCTTCATCCAGGGTCGAGGCTAAAAGTACCACTCGCCCGAATTGCGTATTTTGTTACGCTCTGACAACACAACCGTTCGCTAAACTTTCATTGTTTTGTGTTCTTACAAACACGTGATTCAAAATGGTATTGTAAGACATCAGATCAACAGAATAAATCAAATCTCATTTCAGCTCTCACTGGATTCTGTCAATGCTTTAGTATATTTAACTGCTGCGATTTTTTTCGGAAACAAAGTTGTTCTTTTTCATAACAGTCACAATATCATGCACTTAGGCACTTACGTTAATTGGTCGTTGAAACTGAATGCCCTAAATACTTAAATGACTAGACAATTTTTCGTAAAATTCCACAATACAAAATTTGATCAAATTTCGTTTATCCGTTCTAGTTGTATATTCTGAGTATACTAAAGAGAAGACACTGAAATACTAAAATACTGATTTGTGACTTTTTCTCCAAAAGAAATTTGTTGAATTCTAATCTTAAAATAAGAGAGGACAGAGAAGATTACATTATGAGGAGCTGCATAACTCACCATACAGGATATCAAATCAAAGAGGATGACAAGAGTTGGGCATGAAAAAGATAAATATGTAAGAAATTTTCAAGAAAGAAAGATCACTTGAGACAGGATAATATTAAGACAGATCTTAAAGAAATTAGGTGTGAAAGCATGGACTGGATTCAAGGTATCCAGCACTGGGTCCAGTAGCAGGCTCTTGTGAGCTTGGTAATGAACCTTTTGGTTCCATAAAAGGCATGGAATTTTCAATTAAGCGACTATTAGCTTCTCAAAACAGACTCTGATCCAAAGAGTCCTTGCTTCCAGCAAGTAGATGATAAATATATAAAATAAAGAAACACATAATTAATTTGTGAGAACAATCATACTTACAGGAAGGATGTTTCTATGCATACGACTCTGATATCTCTCCAGTAAAGGAACAGGTTTTATATTAACTGCGAAGGTACCACGTTCAATAAAATTTTGGTTTACACACTACAAAATCAAAGCTGTTATACAACTAAAATAGTTTGTAATTTCAAGAATATTACACAATACTGACATTGATATTGCTAGTTACATTGAATAAAGTTTATAAAAAAACTATACTTAACATTGCACTATTTTTGGCTCTTTTAAATCAATCACATTATGCAACATACCACAGTACTACTCCCATAACCTCACTTTCCGAATCAGACGCCTTACAAACGAGGGCCGTCCACCTATCAGTACAGTCACTGATTTTATGCATCCAGGAGTGGATTTGTCCATCTGAAGCTCTGAAGAACTTGGAAAGGATACCTCAAGTCACAATATGCAGACAAAGCCTTATTTATGGGAGTAGTTTCATAGTAGTGCTGAACAATGCACAAATTACAGACGAGCCACAATACAGCTCTTAAAACCATGCAAGATTCAAGTCACACAAAATTTCATATACCAGATTAACATTAATAATGTAAATTAAAGTAGTTCAAAAATAACAGTTATGATAATATCTACAGAACAGATGAGTCACTGTAAAATAAAATATTGTATTATTATTATTGTTGCAATTTATAAATTGTGAAGATTTTTGGAATACATAAACATGTCTTTTAATATAAAGATGAAATAGAACTAAAATTGATTCATTCTTCAATATACGATTCAACTACCCATTAAACATGGCACTGAGCTACCTGAGTCTAAGATTCTCACAGCTGTGAAGCTGTCAATAATGGTACTGTAAACACCTCATGGCATCACAAACCAGAGGATCACAACCGACGTGGCATTGCGCTAGACATGCTTGTATATTACACAACAAAACCATAAGAACCCTTCCATAAACCTGCAAAGAGCTCATTCATAAAGTCATAATTTTGAAGCTCTGAATTAGTCGCTATATAGCAAATAATTGTCTTCATTATTCACAGGGATCAATTAAAATGGAGATGGGTACAAAACTGAAAAATATATAAATTCATTTTTAGATTCTGATTGATACACTTGACCTTCACATTCCCTCCATACCTATAAATGAAGTGGCAATATTCATGCAAATAATACACCCTTCACAAATTGAATGTCTAATATACATATATATATATATATATATATTGAATAACCAGTATTTTTACAATCTTAAATTACCTCGATAAACAGTTTTCTAAAGCACATTTATTTAAAACATTTAAACCAAAGTTGTGGCATATTAAGAAAGTCACCTTTCATTAACTTTATCTTCATACCTGCCACATTATTCATCAGTCTACATGACACACACAAATGTACTATAATTGAAAATAATATATCTAATTATTAGATAAACAACTTGAAAATTTTAAAGTGAAATGTCCTACTGATTACTTTCACTCTCTTCTTTTTCCGGTTTAACAATGTTTGTACATTTTCCGGTACCCTTTACGGGTCCCCAACTTTTCAGTTGGCTTTATCTATGGACATTCGGTAGGACTCCTTGGACGAGGGATCGGCCTGTCACAAGGCCTCTACCTATACACAGGACAACACAACACAGAAAAACATCCATGGCCTGAGTGGGATTTGAACCCATTGTCCCTGCGACCAAGCGGCACAAGACCTACGCCTCAGACCGCGCGGCCATTGCGGACCCCCGATTTCTTTCACAATCCCAATAAAATGTGTCACATAAATTACTGTTGCAAAATAGTACAATTTTATAATTTACTTCAACTGACAGTAATTAAAAACTACATTTTTGTTTCATTTATAGATCTACAGAAGGTGGGATAAATGTCCACATTCATAAATTGGTGATGACTCATTAAACTGCATGAAACTTGCCCATGTATATTACTAGCATGGTGCACAATCAAATCAAATTACACATATAAAACAGTAAAATAAATGTTACTACAAACAAAATTGTATCTAGTATACTTACAATGATGAAATAAATACCTTACGACGACTCAAACTACTGTAACTATAACCCTTCTTTGTTGTTACTACCGTGGCCAATGCCTTCGGAAATGATTTTTGACCATGACGGTGAAACTGACAGCAGGCACGACAGATCTCATGACATCAAAAGCACGGCAGATGCCTGGTCCACATCACTTTTGAATTCCAACTTCATCACAGAGGGAAAGCAGACAAATCTGTACTGGATGAGGTTGGTCTCAAACCAAAACTCTACATAAGGCCAAATACCTTACTCCTAGACCACTAGTCTCTGTGCATTAGACTGATGTAAATGTCAATTCCTTGACACCTTGTTTCATCATCAGAAATTAGAATTTTCTTTACACTTCCAGTGAGGCGGACAGTTATCTCTCGCTACCCTCAACACAGTGATCAAAAAAACTCATTCATCTGGAGAATGTATTTGGAATAATCTCACATGAAAATAAATGTTAGGTCAGCATGACTTAAAACTCAACATTTTGGACCTACATTGATGGAAAATTTGCTTAGCATCACAGAGATGTTTCAGAAAATTTGCTATGTGCCAAATTTCCTCTACATCTAAATGGAGTCCATGTGACTTATTTCAAACACTGATCTCTTGTTCTGATGAGAGAATCTCAAAGGAGGTTGGTAACTGTCTTCACACCCACGTTTCTCAAAAATGGGTGATCATTTGGGTTGCATGTATACAATATATCAAGATTCCTCATCAAATTTGTTCAAAGCCAAGAGCTCTGAACACTTGAAGCCATACCTTGTATGAAACAGATTTACGCACCAAACTGAGTACCACTTTCAATTAAGATTTGGCATACAATTACATCCTCAATGTACTTATTCCGAATTAATTCCAGTTAATAAGAGTGCATGTAATGCACTGTTTGAAATGTATACACAAGGCAGGTGAGCTTATAAAGAGTCATTCATCTAACAGCCACATTTTGGAGCTGGACTTCAGTATTTCAAATTAACAGAGAAATTAAAAATGACACTTGGAATAAAAATAAATAAGTTATCATATCATTAATAAGATTGATTCAACCCCTTCATAGTCACGATTTCTCATTAAACAGCTTACCCTTCTACATCATGTTCATTGGTTGAGAGGTTTACACTCCAGCTCTGTATTTGGGAGGTGCCATGAACACTTCCTTTCACATCATAGTTAATATTTAACTCATCATCCTACCACCTGACACTATATAATCTCCACAAATGAAAGTGTTAAAATAAACCAAGAATACGTAAAAATAAAATACATGTTAAAAAAATTGGTATGCCTGAACATTTTATCTACCTGTCAACTATTTGCATCTGCTTATGTTGTTTCTCAAAGGTTAATGGTAACAAAATCTGTCGGTTAATACTAAAATTTGCCATGCCTCGTCTACTATAAGATATATAATATTACTGATTAAAGAAAAACAGTGAAAATAATATGGTTACAAAAATTTTGCTTGAAGGTTAGGTGCTAATGAAATTTATAAACTGGACCCACACAAACTGCATACAAGATTATCCACATTGAACATATTAATCCATATAAGTAAAGAATGAATTTGATGTCACATTCTCCAAGTGCTGTATTAGAAAGTAAATCACCTGATAACAAAGGCAATGAAAGAGATAGGCTGTTGTACTGTTTCAATATATGAATAAAAATAAAAATAGGTTTATCACAATTAACAAACTGCATAATGTGTAATGTTATTACTTCATCAGTTCTTATGATACATGCTTCCACTATATCAACAAAAATTTGTACTTTTCTTACAATTTCATACTTCTCTTTCTGCATTTCATATAAAACAACTGTTCCTTAGCTATTCTGTGGCAACAAGAAAGTCACATTATTATATAATACAATATATAACTAACTATTTATTCAACATTGCTGACAGCCAGCAACAGTATCTATAAAGCGATGAGTCATAGGCAGTAGAATCAAATGAAATATTTGAAAGCAATTATCATATATATTCAAATAACTGTCGCACATTTTTATACAGTATTTTTAGATTCTAACAATGGCAGGGTAATCACACAGTTTTCCCCTTATAATGTGGAAATGGTCATAAAATAAGTCTAGCAACAATGGAATTATAAATTTACACTAGAATTCTCTCCCCACACTTAAGAACACTATTTATTTATGTTTTCAAAGCTTAATCATGCCTTCCTTTATGTGGCTTTCAATGAGCTGTGTCATACTGCTGCTGGTACAATGTCTATTAGGATGGTGAGGGGGAAGTGGAACAAAGACTGCAGCATGAGTAGTTATAATCACCATTTCAAAGCAAAGGATAGGCATTCATGTGGCACAAAAAAAGAGGTTTCTTCAAAAACTGGATGGGGCAATTACAGTATGCAAGTAATCACACAAGTAAATATGATGTTTTTCACAAAAAATGAAATTAGAATTTCAAAATCCAATCAACTGAATGAGAACTCTTTCTTCTGTTAATATGAGCACAGCAAAAAAAAATAATAATTTACACACTGACTGAATTCGTCAACATTACAACACAAAGTACTGAAAGTTTCATTAATTGGATACTTCATATCCAATACCACTTAATTACAAATAATTTATATTTCTGGAAACCAATAACTTCACTCTACCTGACCAATTTCAATAAAAGCATGTTTCTAGAAAACAACATTGAGAATACTGTTTTAAAAATGTTTGGTTTTAAAATGAGCAAAAGTGGAGATCTTTCTTAGCTACAACAAATTTCAATAACATTATCTCTGGAATAAAGAATGGCAGAAAACAATAAGATTTTACAGAAATACATCTCCAAAAAATGTACTCCTGAACAGATAGTTCCTAACATTTGTTAAATTATGACTTCACACAGAGTTTGTTTCAGCATGCAATAATACAGAGCATACATAAAACACAGACACTGAGAATTAATTTGTGTTAAATAAAAAAAAAAATATTTAATACAATAGACACTTATGCACACATTCTGGCAAGTTCTCTATGTACAAAAACTTAAAATGTTAAACACTTGACATAAACACACTAACATGTTGAAAAGGGACTTCCCTCATTTACAGTACAAAGCCGGTGTTGAACAACTGAAACAAAAACAGATAAACTAATTTTAGTATGCACTAAAACAAAAAAAAATTATAGTATGGATTAACCCTTTCACTTTTATGGATGGAATATTTCTGAAATGGTAGAGCATGTTTTAATATTGATCTCTCTTAGCTGGCAGATAATATATTGTTGCACTTTATGCTCTTCATAACAGAGTGCAGTCATGGTTATATAACTAACTAGATGGCTCACAGAACCCGAAGGTTCATCACCGAATTAACCAAAGCCCTCCACCGGACCTTGTCATGGGCCAACAAAATTCAGTCTCCTTCAACTCCTATCTCCCATAGATCCTGCCTGACATTATCCTCCCATCTACGTCTAGGTCTCCGCAGCGGTCATGGTTATATACTCATTTTAAATATGAAAATGTAAATTAAAAACAAAATATTGTACAGGGGTCTAAACATTCACAACAGGCCATACATTGTCTAACACACAGCCTACTGGAACATGTATTTTCAGCATAAAATATCTGTATAATATGAATGAAGAAGGTTGTCATAGTGCCATCTTCAGTATCTTTTAAAGAAATAAACGTAGACGGTGCAACGGTTGTGTTACGTTGATTATAAAGAACTGTTACTAGAAGCAACCCAAAAGTACATAAAAATTATTTTGTTTCATTAAACTAATATTTTAATTTTGAGAGAGAAAATTAGAAAAGTCTTGTACATCATAATTGTCTCACAAATACCATATTATCTGCAGCTAATAGCATATTTTAAACTGCCCCAAACTTTTAAAATATGAAGTTGTCTACACAGCGGAAACCTACTCTAATTTTCATGTGTTACAAGTCAAAATGTTCTATTATGCATTTCTATTAAATTACATTAAAACGAATGCAAATGTTCCTACATACTTTGGTACCAAATACAAGAATATGCCATTAAATATTACTTATACTACATGTCATTATACATAATTATACTTCAAATTAACATCAAAATACTTTCCCATTTTCATATCCAGTGTTAATATATCAATCCAAGTGAATGAGTCAATAATATATTTCTACACAGCTACCAGTTGGCAAAATCTGTAAATACAGTTACCTGTATGAGATATAGCAATCTCAGATGCGTGCCTGAGCTGGAGTTTTAGGAATGTCTACAGCCACTGTTTCACTTATGGTAGCAACATGACCACCTCCACCAACAATGCTTAGAGCAGATACTTTAGCACGCTGGTATGCCACTACGGTGTTCAGACCCAGGAATCTGCAGATATGCAACAAAAATATATAAGAATATCAAAATTTTTAAATATACTGGAACACAGCAGCTATCACTATGTTGTATTTCACAATGTTGGTACTGACACATCCTCATAGCTTGGTGCCTGCCTAACTGCGACACACAACCACTTTGCAGCAATACAAAGCAATATGAATCCCTTACATGAGATCTGACAAATAAATAAATGGAAGAGCTACTAGCATGGATCATGTTCACAATTCAGCAGTTCTTTGTCAGTCTTGGAGATTCAATGTATTTGTCATTGTAGGAAGTCTTTTGTCTCTCAAAAATAAGGGTTAAACATATTGTTTCGATCCTTAGTAGCACTTACGATTTCAATGAGACTCCCAAAATTAACTGAATTCAACCCTCCACTGTACCACTCACCTCACACATACATATTGTATGAGAAGGGCACTGCCAGCAGATAGCATGCGGATGACTGGGTCTTCAAACAACTGGATAGTGACCCAAGCCCCTGCTGCAGACACGCACATACATGTCACAATGGCTGCCGTCTGCAACCAGTGCTGGGTAGTGAAGCCATGTTGCCAATCCAACCTTGTCCCTTGTTCCACTTCATACGCAGACCCGCATACTTTGCAGCGCAGAGAATCGGGACTTGCGGAACTCTTCAAAGATTATCATAAGAAAATGATTACATAATTGCCAGGAAGAAAACAAAAATAATCACACCCATACAAAATAAAAAGTCAAACTATAGTTTTATATTTTGGTCTCCAGGTTTTATATAAAATGTATGAAGATACCAGTCATACTCTGAGACTTAAAAACAAGCACAAATACTCCAATGACCAAATGTGGATGAACAGAATGTGCCAAAAACATCCGACAGTTTCTGAAATGAAATAACTTTTCAAAGCAAAGTGGAAGAATTTATTAACACAGGTAGATATGTTTCCATCAAGAATTTGTTTAAAGCATTAATGTTTGAACATGACACCTTGCAGGTAACCTTGTTGTTCAACACACTCCTGCAGTCAAGACAGCATGGATGCCATAACATGTAGCTTTTCATTAGGGATTCCTTGAATGCACTCCTGAATTCACTGTTTCAAGTCATCAATATTGGCAGCATGTTTCATACACCTTGCTTTTAAAGTAGTCCCAAAGAAAGTAATCTGGTACCAAAAGATCAGGCAAGCGGGTGAGCCTGTTGATGTACCAGAAATGACAAATGCTGTCTGCCTGATAATATCTCCCTGAGAACCGCCATGGAAATCCATGCTGAGTGAGCAACTGCTCGGCCTTGTTAAAACCACAGTACATTAAGCTGACAAAGATTTAACTTGTTTCGCATAAACGTTTCCAGCATGGCCTTGTACCACTCAGCATCGACTTACAGTTCGTCCCTCTTCATACTCAAAGAAATAGGGACCAATAATGCCACCAGAAGAAATTGCACACCACACTGTCACTTTTGCATTATGCAAAGGGCGCTTGTGAAGTTCATGCAGACTGTTTGCGGCCCAAAACTGACAATTTTGTTTATTCACATAACCTGACATGTGGAAGTGGGCCTCATTTGACATCAGTCATGAGTTCATAGTGTTGTGATTGCTGTTCACCAAGTCCAAGAATTGATTACAAAACTAAAGTCAGTTCACCTTGTCCTGTTCACTAAGTTCCTGGACAACTTGAATTTTGTAGGGATGGTAATGCAAACCTTTGTGCAGAATTCACTAAATGCTATTGTCCTTTAAACCAAGTGTGAGAGCTTGCCACCAAGCTGATCTGTAGGGACTGCAATATGGCTTCTCTTCCTCACTCCACATTGACTGGCACATGCACCAAACATGGACGTCCTTCAGGTTTATAGTCCTTCAGTGATCCTTCTTGATGCCATTTCAATACCCACAACAGCAGAGTACTGCCGCTAGGTGCACAGTGTGTTTAAAACTATAGTCGAAAACCACGCTGTGTAGCTGTAATTGACTCTGTTCTGATAAACAGTTCCACAGCCACATGGTGTTGCCCTGACCAGTGTTCCACCTCAACTAAACTCCAAAGAGCACTCTACATGATGAATGTTAGTATGGAAGTGCTGCGTAGCGGAAAAGATGGTAATTACTTTTCAAAAACCATCAGGTATTTCTGGCACACTCTGTATAACACAAGATAATACTAACCTCTACAAGCCACCTCCGTAAACAGTCATGGTGTACACTACTCACATCTCCACGACACTGGCAAGGCTGGATTAGTGGGCCCACATCTTGACGATCACTGTCATAGCAAATCCAGCAGTCTTTGGAGAAACAAGCATCATACTCATCTGTAGTAAGACAAATTAACCACTACTCATAACACCTGAAATTATCTCATGTTAAAAATGTTGCCCAAAATATATTACTCCAAGTTATCTCATAGCAGTTAGAATTCCATGGCTTTTCGTATAATCCGAGCTTCACACTACATAAAACCATTGTTCAGTACTTCACTGATTCATAATATTCTGGCAGATTTCTTTTATACTAAGTCTTTATTTGTAGCAGTGCTCATATATTACACCTACATCCAGTGGGTTTTTGCAAGTAGTTGTAACCACAGATGTGAAACACATTGTGTAGTAGTGGCCTGTTATTTTGAAATTGTCATATTATTATTATTTTGTTATGGAAAAAAAAGCAACTCTTGACATTTATGATAGTGAAGCAGAAGATATTTCTGGTAATGTGTCCGGCAGTAACACTTCTACATTAGCAACATTAATTACAAAGCCCAATTCAGACAGTTCTGTTGTCATACAAGCCTGACAATGAATGAAAGTAACAACTTCAGGTCTACCACACAGCAGAAAACATCTAAGCAAAACCCAAGATAACTCAGGATAATAAACAAGCTATTTAAATACAGATTTTCTTGTTATATGGTGTTTTAAAACATTACTCCCTTGCATTACTTCATTTTATGTTCAAAGATCATATAACTAACTAAATGAGTTTGCTTTTTTGGTACCAAATTCAGGAAAGAAAATTAGTAAGCAAGTAGTTAACAATCCTGCGATCTCATATGATTTGTCTTCCTCGTGATTAAAGACTGATTCAATTACAGCACATAAGAAAGCTCACTGTATGTATGCCTAAACACATGCTTGCCTGCGGCTTGGGATGACGCCTTGTCAACTGTGCTTTCTTGGCCTGGCTGCTTGCTTGGAGGCTCCAAGTCCAGCTTTTTGAGAATACGCTTTGGGTTTAAAATCCATAGCTGCTCTGGACTGAAATCATCAAAAGAAAATAAACAATTCATGGAAAACACTAAACACTGTTATGTCTTTGACTTCTGCGCAAAAAGTATCATGAAATAATGAATTAGCATGAGATATTTAAATTTAATCAGAGCAAAAATTTAATGACAATCCTAACTGGGAATAAACTGGAAGTTCAACTGATTTAACCAAGCATCAACCTTGAACTATTGAAAACAAACAAATACAGGTAAGTGAACAAAACAGTAGTAAATCAGCTGGTTCATCCTATCTATTTGAAGCAAAACTCTGTCCACACAAACCTATTAGCACTGCCCACATGCCATCCTATATAGAAAGTGTATTAGTAACACCACTAAAGTTTGGCATCCTTAAAGTGACTAATTTGACATGATTATATCTGTATCAAAGATATGCAACAATTCATCAATTTCTTTTAAAAAATTTGGAAGACTATGTAAACATTCGTCAGGCTACTCAGTGCATGGGATGTTTAGTTGGATGACAAACACAAATATTTGTTTATCAGGTTTGTATGTTCTCAGTGCTAAGGGGCGTGTAACGGCCAAATTTAATCTTCTTTCGTCTCATCACATGTAGGAATAGCTTTACTGCCAATACATAAATCTTCATCTTTAATAATATCGTCTAGGGCAAACTATCAATTTTTTTTTCCAGTTTGTTAGTGCAATTGCATTGAAACCCACCTCTGGAATCTGATCAGTTTTAATCTATTGTAGTAGTCACACGTGGGTCATTTACCTGACAGATCTGGTACAAAGCCAGCTCATCAACTGTTCCTGCTTCTGACATCACATCATAAAAGAAATAATTGCTAGAACAGTTTTTATGATAAATTATCCAACATTAATTTAGTTTCCACTTTATCTTCTAATCAAATTCCCTTATCCTTTTCTATGCTGTTCATATTCCTTCTCAAATGGGGATATGGACAGACATGATTAAAATAACAGGTGATTTTTAAAATTATTTTTAAAATTTCATAAAATAATTACAGTATACATGTTAAAGATTCACTGAAATTTCTTCTTACCTCATACAGTTCCATAGAACACAAGGGAACCACAATGCAACACCTACTTCCACAACTCGGAATACAACGTCATGCCAATTGCGACTGTAAAGTGGAACTCTGTAAAATCAAAAATATAAAATTAAATTTCTCTGGAACACTGATACCTACCTATAAGTCCACATGGTGTTACTTCCCCGAAGAATACCACAGAGAGAACCTCAAACATTGTCTCACAATGATGTTAATCACTTTCACTGCTTACATGACATGTTATCTTACTAGTATGTAGCACATACATCCAAAGGCAATTAAACCTTCATGTGAACAATAAAGATGCTAAAATCTCCTGTTAAACATTTAATTATTCACTGCACTAAAATGTGACAGTTTACACAAACCTTTCTGTAGTTAGATCTGAACTCAATGCCACAATCCTTTACATATCACAAGTGGAAAAGAGAATGTAAAAGTAATTACATGAGACCTGATAAAAACTAGACATATACATGCCATATATACTGTTAAAGGTAATGCTACTAGAAGGATGAGCAAATTACAACAAAAACATTTCCTCCAGCCCCAAGCTATAAATGTATTTATTTATCATCCATTTATTTATCTTAAAAGAAACATTCTTCCACACTAAATTGTGAAGCCAACTGATTAGTTGTACACAGACTGTGCAAATGCAGTTCAATAGCAGCTCTTGTTTATTTTTAGGCTGACACTATCTTGATATGCAGGGGAGGTAATACGGTTTTCTGTAATTCTCTTTGATGCTACGTGATTCAACGACAAACAAATATATAGTATTGATGCCTTTTACAGAGTTAAAGTAAGATTTCCACTGTGTTTAACCAGTTAACTGTGTGTGTGTGTGTGTGTTTATTCCAGGAAATCAGTGGTTCAGGGTCAAATGACTCTTCCATTTTGTCTATGCGAACAGTCATTTGCTGAATCCAATGAAGTAGTGAACATATTTTATTCATAATAAATGCTAATACAGTGAAACCTCTATCCATCGTTCCCGGAACTATCGTTTTCCCGGATGCATCGTCCGTTTTGTTCAGTCCCGAATACATCCCATATAAAATAATGTTACATTTTCCCGCTTCTATCGTTCCTCGAACTATCGTTTTATCGCATCGATCGTTCAAAAATCTTAGTCCCGGCCAACAATTTTCCCGCAATGATCGTTTCTGAGAATTTAAAATGCTGGGGTTTGAGATAAATTAATACCGAAAGACGCACAATGTTTTTGGAATACACAGTAGTGGTAACCTCTTCACAAATGCTTTTATTATAAGTACAAAGGAAAGGCGAGCGAAACTTTTTCATTCTTCTGGTTCATATCGTGTCTTCTACAGCTACGTTTCGTTGAGTTCGGCAGTAATAGTACTTCCATTTTTCCTGTTATAGTCCGCGAAGGTTGAGGGAGAAACGACGAATGCGAGCCCGAACTTTGCCGAGTTTTGCCGAAGCACACGCTGCATTGGCAAAAGTGAAGTCGTTCTTTTATGCGCTTAATATTAGTGAACGTGACGAAGAAAACATTTTGAACGTGGAAAGTGATCTGTTTGGCCTAAAACGTAAAGTTTCGACAAACCAGTTGTCCATTTAAGACTTTTTTGGTAAAAAGAAGTAAATAACTTTGAAAGAGAAACATTGTTTGTTTTTTTAAAATTTTTAATGCTTTCCCGCATCTATCGTTTTCCCGCATTCATCGTTTTTATTTCCCACCCCCGCCGAAAACGATGCATCGAGGTTTCACTGTACTATCTTTGTATAATGAGTGTAAAGAAGCAACATATAACACAGCACGTTCATATATTTTAATGAGGTTTAGCAAGTAAAGTAAAATAAAGTTTGTCCTGCTATACGCCATGTAGGCATTTGGGGTGAGTGGAGGTATAGCTCCTCTCTTCCTTAGCAAGTACAATATTTATCTACAGACGTAGCATCTATGATCATGTACATAATTTACAGTGACAGTCTCCTTATTAACCCGACTTAATGGTACCTGCACCTTGTCGTGGTCTTGGGGTTTGAGTACCTCGGTGATCCCAAGAGCTATGCTGGTGGTAGCATAGCTACTGGTAGGGCCTCCCTAGCCAGGCTAACAACCTTGCACCATAAAAAGGAAGATGTTTCGAAACCTCGATCAAAGCCTCGGACAGATGGACCTAACAGAGGACCGAATGGAAGAGGAGAATTGAGGAGGTCACGGACTGAATACGGACCGGAGAACCATAGAAGAAGAAGTCTCCTTATTGAAGGTTTCTAATAAGAAAAACCAGGTTGGTTCAACCACGGAAAATATTGTGCCCATTTATTTTTGGATGCAACAGCAAGGAAAGCCATAGAATTACTGTTGAATTTTAACATGTCGCTTATGGGTCATGATCACTATAATTTAATTCCTTACCGCAGAACACAGGTCATGGTAAACTATTTTTTTATGGATACAAATAGTGTAATCTGTGCTGGTCCACTTCATTACACCATAACCATTCAATGTCAGCTACAACTTTGCCAAGGACGGCCAGCTAACAAATTCTATGTTATTTTGGACACTGAATTCCTTTGACAAACATAAAGTCTAGACATAAATAAATTGGTCTGATGGTACCAGAAAACAAATGGTGAGGCTTTCAAAGGATTACCAGAAAATTAGGAACTCCTTATGATAATGAAATTCT